GGCAGTATGAGAATCCAGGTCACTCAACCCCCAGCCTGATGTTCTTTCCAGAACATTACACTAACTCCTAAAATTGCTAGGAATGACTTAAAATACTTCTACATTAAAAAATGGATTCATGACACAGTAAAAGAGCTATATAATAAAAGTAGGTAGTAGTTAAGACAAGTAATTTAGTCAAGGTTCCAATGTAGAAAATTTGATTTCAACTTTTTAATAACAACTAAAATTCACAGTTAGACCAGTCTGGGTGAAAAGCATTGTTATATTTCATGTGTTTTCATTAAAAAAAAAAAATTCTAAGATTCCACATCCTAGCAAAGAATAGGAAGAATTTAAGTAAATGATGAGATTGCATTTGTTCTTAACACTGAAATGACCAACTTGCTAGATCAGTAAAGAAATTGTTACCTAAATGGGGAGAAAACCAAAAATACCTGAACATCACTAAGGCAGGCAAAGAAGGCTGGAGGAATCAGAGAATTTTAATCAGGAATTAGAAATGATGAGGTTTGCATTTCTGGGCCTTCCACTTGAAACAGCAGCCAACTGAGTCCGACTCCAGGGCTAAAATAGCACATGCTGAGAGGAAGCATTTTGCTCTTTTATTAAAATCTGCCCTTATGGCTATTCATGATCATGATGCCTGTGCAAAAAGCCTTTTGATTTATGTTGTCGATTAGGATAGGCCTTTTCACCCTAAGCCTATCCCACACTGTGATTCATGCCTTTCATTGAATCTTTGTTTTTTGCTTATTTGTTTTTGTCATTTCAGTTGTCATTTATTCCAGCTAGTCTAGGGAAGGAAGTTTAACTGGATAATGGTGATCTTGGCTTAAATAGATTAAAGAAAATTGATAGAACACCTGTTAAAATGACCTAGCAAGGGTACATCCTGAAATATTTAGTCTGTGACCAGGCAAATAAAAGAAGACTCTTATAAATGTACAGAAGGATTAATGGACCATTTCAAGACCAATTAAAAATCTCTACACACAGATCTACAAGTGACACAAAAGCACAGTTGAAATGACAAAGAACAGGCAGATGGCTATTTCAGTGCAAACTGATGGATCCTGGACATGAACAGTGCCATTGTACACACAATAAACACAAAATAGCCGCCAGCCTTGTCTTCCACTCCAGCACCAGACCCCTCCCCTCTTCCCTTTATGAGAAGCCTCATGACTTCTGCAAAACAGAAATCCTTTTGCTGCTGCAAGGACACAATTGTCCACCCTGGTCACATAGCTTATGCATTAGCATAATGCTAGCCCTTGGTGCCCTGGTGCTGTCCTCCATTTTGAGGGCAGCCCCGGCTGCTCTCCACTTTGAGCACAGCCTGGCAGATTCTTTTCCCTTAATAAAGCTTGATCAGTACTCAGCATCTCAGCTCACTTTCTTTCATTTTGGTGCCAAAACGCAGGAAGGGTTCTGGCTGATGTTGTTGGATGATCCCCACCTGGGTTGATTGGCCATCGGCAACCCTTCCCAGACCTGCCAAACCAGGTACCTCTGGGACTCTCTCCTTTTGCCATTTCAGACCAATGCATCCAACACCAGCCTCAATTCAGGGTGAGTCAGTGGGTTGGTCTTCTCTCATCACAGGTTCCCCTGACTCACTCTCTCTCACTCTCAAAGCCCAAGCACCTGGCCAAGGGAACCCCTCTTGTGCCCCCTGCCAGTTATTAGAGGATGCTCCTCTAGCCAGTTGGTGGTTATGCTCTCAAAAAGAAGGTGGACAGCAAAGAGGATGCTCTTTGTTGGCACTCTTCTTCTACTAGGACTGCCTGTTTCCTTTCTCATCCTCTAAATGGGATCCTCGCAATCCAAACCTCCATGCTCTATGCTCTTGAGCTGTCTCCTGCCAATTTACCGCTTATCCTCCAGGGAGACATTAAACCTAAGCATCTTGTTTTCTACTGTACTCTGCTCTCTACACCTCTGGGCTGTCTCCTGGACAATCTCTTGGCCTCCAGGACAACATTAAAACTAAACACCTCATTACAATGGATCCCAGTGGCCATAATATGTCACTTTCAATTTAGATACTCTCAGAGATTTAGACAATTTTTGTCACCGAAATGGCAAAGCTGGAGAGAATCCTTATGTTCAAGCCTTTATTCTATCTCCAACTACAATCCTCTCTGTCAAAACTACCCTACATCTCAAATTCGCCTAGCTCACACTCGACCTCCCCTTCTGGACTCAGATCAATCTTCTGATCTATCAGCCTTCACCTTTCTCCTCTCTTCCCCCTACCTGGTCTCGAGATGCTCATCCTCAGCCACCCAACCCTTCTCCTTCTTCCCCTTTGTCAGGTAACAATCCTGCCTCAGCTCTGGCTCCTTTATACCCCTCCATGAAGTGGCTGGGATGGAGGGAACTGTCTGAGTCCATGTCCCTTTTTCTCTTTCTGACCTTTCCCAAATCAAAAAATGACAGGGATCCTTCCAGTCCAACCCAGACACATAACCATCCCCTGAAGACAGGGAGGAGGTCTGGATAACAGCCCAACAACAGGCAGACAATGTACATGCTCAAAATAACAGGAGGCCTGTGGGAGCCATTGCTGTGCCTCACATGGACCCAAGTTGGGACTACCAGGCTGGCCATGGGGATCAGGATCTCTGGGATAACATGACACACACGTGATTTATGGCCACCAAAAGACTACTCACAAGTCAGTCAATTATGACAAGCTTAGAGAAATCACACAAAGATCCACTAAAAATCCCAGTGAATTCCTGACCTACCTCTCTGAGGCCCTACATAAACACACATGTATGGACCCAAGCTCCCCTGCAGGCATGGCCCTCTTACACTCTCACTTCATTACCCAATCAGCCCCTGACATTCAAAAAAAACTTTAAAAACTTGAGGATGGTCCAAATATGACCTCAACACAGCTTTCACATTTAAAAACTGAGCCCAGGACAGCAAATGTATATTAAAAACTGAATCCCAAAGCCTCTCTCACCATGTTGGGAAGGGCCTTATACAATAGAAATGCCCTTGGTATCACTTATCCTTGGAAAAACTAGCATCTGAAACTTTACCCCAAAAATCTGTTAACACCAAGCCAGAGGGGTCCCTCTGCTCAACCCCCAACCCAACCTCCCCTAACACTTTGTCCATTTTAGGACCCACAAAATTAAAAATCCCCAGGACCTCTGCCCTTCCCCCAATCCCAGAAGAAGGATGATCTTCCCCCTGGTGATTATCCTCTCACTCTTGCAGGCCCGCTCCACGTCCTTTGCACAAGAACTACTCTAAGACTGGTCCTGATCTGCTATTGCAGGTTTTCCATCATGGGACACGATAAGTAAATGCCACCCCATGTCCCTCACCTTGATTATACTATCCATTCTAGTACTTGCTACAGGATTGGCCAGTGATGCCCCAAAGGAGTGTAACATTATAGGAAGGTTTCCCCTACATTCCTTTACCTCCTATCAGTAGGATGCTTCTTAGCAATTTCACTGTGGCAATGTCCCCTTTAAATTCTTTCAGATACCTAACTCCTTGCATCCTTCCCATGTTTTTCCTCCTATCTCAATCCTCCTCCTCACCTGGAACATGGAGGTTCCAGGTCTGCGGGGATGATGCAGTCCTCAGTGAATCAGACTGGTCCCCAAGTGACTCATCTGTCTCCCAGTTCACGAGAAACATTTTGTGGTCACCCCCCTCCCTGTCGATGCAGCCCACAATGTTTCCACAAATGTAGAAACTTTTTGTGGTCACCCCCCTCCCTGTCGATGCAGCCCACAATGTTTCCACAAATGTCTCTTCACTTTCCTCTAATCTCACCTCAGTGGGGACTGTCTGCGTTGTGCGGGGCCTGCCCACACTCTGCCTCACTAACACCAAACACTACCACTCACTTACCCCCTCCTCATCCATGCCCTAAAACTGGAATATATTTCCTTTATAAAACTACGATATCCTGTTGCCTGCCTCCTAACATGATTTCTTGCATATTCGTTTGGCTCATCCAGGACATCACTGTCCAGACAGATGAAGGGATGGAGATGGGACTTGGACTAACTTTGGTGCCCCACTCTCAGGAAGTGCCCCCACTCCTGTAGGACACTAATTGTACCTTTTTTAATTGGGGCAGGGATCCTTCCTGCAACTGGGACTGGCATAGCAGGCCTTGCTACTGCCTCTCAATTCTATCAAAAACTC